ATGTAGGATTTTCCACTTTCAAAAAGTGGCAAGTAGTGTACAAAATGCTCACGAAATTGAGTTTCCGTTATAATAGGAATAAACAAATTGTACTGTTACATGCACCCATAAAATATTGAGCATTGAATGAATGGTGTGACACTCCAATGGCAGAGCGGATAAAACCAGTGAATAGTTGGTGTTGGGTTCGTCTCTCGCTAACAGTCTAGCCACGCGGAGGTTTCGGTGTTCGTTAAATAGGAGGCAGATTCCACTAAGGTTTTTCAGTGAGACATCCTTTCAGCAGATTGCCCAATATAACACGATAAACTTTATAATTATTGTGTGAATTAAATTCGTATTAATATTTTTAACTTTTATGTTCCTTTTAGGTGACGACGATAGTGAATTATATATCAAGTATATTGGTTCGTGCGATGAAAATTTTACAGACGAAAACTGTGGTACGACGTGTGATTCAATGGAGTATTGGTTCGGACTGTGCATTCCAAATAGTAACAACTCAGGCTTTAGATGCATGTGCGCCATACACAGGTCTTTAAATATCTAAGATAAATAATACACTTGATACGCATAATATTGAAGTTCTCAATATAGTTTCAGAGAAAACTTGATAATCTGTATTGAGTTATGTAATTGTGTATATCTGTGTTATAAATACATTAATAAAAGCTAATTTTAAAAAGAACTCAACCCACTAGTTTCCGAGTTTATGAAACTTCTGAACACATAGGTTGGTCGTGGGTTCTGACCTGACCAACGACGTAGACGTATTGAGTTTTCTCAGGTGCCTCACACCTAAATGATGGTTAATTTTCTATTGAAACTTCCTCCGGTAGGCATTTCCCTGGCAGATCATCCGTGTGTTGTTTTACCGTATCACACCATACAAAGCCACAATGAAAATATTAAAAACTAGCAATTGTTTCAAAATAAATACGGAACTATCTTTCAAATCCGTTTTATAATCAACTTCAAATTTATATAAAAGTGTATAAGTAACGATAAATTTAAAAAAGTGTAAAGTTTAAGTATAATGTGACAGGGCAACGCAAAACGTGGGTCATATGCTAAGGAAGATGAACCGTTTGGTCGTGGTCGTTCCTTTATCGAGATGACAATTAGGTTTTATATGGAAAATAAAATAATCATTAATAGATTATTTACATTTCCATTTGAATAATTAATTTTTCAATAGGAGACATTAGCATATTATGATTTATCACAAATTATGCCCATTACAGATTGACCTGACTTTTAACGGAATCGATTAAAATGGATGAAGGAGTGAGAAACGATACTGATTTCCTACTGCAATGAACAATTATGTCCATGCAACTATGTAGGACCTTCGTAATAGATTACAGAAATCTAAAATTTTATATTTAATCATGGGGATGCGAGTTTGAATCCATATCACACGTCGATATTATTTTAGATTTGTTTTAAAAATTTTCTTTACTTAATTTCAGCACTTTTTGAATTTTTTCATTTAAATTATTTTAAATGTTTTGTTATAATAACTTTTTCGTTACTTATGTGTGGTTTTTTGTTCTATGGGATCAAATAGAACGCTTTATGAAGCCCATCGTGAGTTCGGTCAGATCCACGATGTTCCGTCCTGGCCGAACCAACTGCGGATACAGAGCGGATGGGTGTTGATAAAAGGGGCACGAGCTCATTTTCAGAAGGTGATAGACAATAGTCTGAAAATTTTCGTTTTTTTTTAATCGACAACACCCTAACCCAGAGTTCCAGTGCCTTCTGCTAACGCATTAACCTACTTCAAATCATGGTTGAAATACGAGGGCCACTTATTATTGTTACTTAAAAATTAAGAAATAGAACTTTTATTATATAATTAAATAAATTACTGCATAAGTGACAACAGTCATACATCGATCGGTTTTTACATTCAGTATTTAAGTGTAATTTTTCGTTTACTTTTCATACTTTGTACATTCTTACGCCANGGATGCGAGTTTGAATCCATATCACACGTCGATATTATTTTAGATTTGTTTTAAAATTTTTCTTTACTTAATTTCAGCACTTTTTGAATTTTTCATTTAAATTATTTTAAATGTTTTGTTATAAATAACTTTTTCGTCACTTAAGAAGTAGAACTTCTATTATATAATTAAATAAGTAACTGCATAAGTGACAACAGTCATACATCGATCGGTTTTTACATTCAGTATTTAAGTGTAATTTTTCGTTTACTTTTCATACTTTGTACATTCTTACGCCAGTTAGTGTGAATACTGTTAGAAAGTGTAATGGGCATTTTTCACGCTCATCACAGAGTGAACGACTGGGCGTGATTCGATATGTGAGAGTGATGAGTTAAATTTATTTATAGAGAGGGAGATGATGTTCTATAATAACTTTTAGTTTAAAATGACTGTTTTAATATAAGACTAACGTTTTCATTAAGTTTAATCTACTCGTAGTATGACCCAACCTCTGTTATACGTTCGCATCACTTTTCATTTCTCTTCCAAAATTCAGTGGCATCAATATCTTATAAGTAGGAGTATAAGTAAATAAGTCGTAGTAAATTTCAAGGTTTTCTTATTACGTACTTACAAAGGAAATGTAAGGTAAAGAATATCTTTATTGTTCAAACTTTGATGCCAAATATCTTGGCTCAGTCAACCGGCATGTAGGATTTTCCACTTTCAAAAAGTGGCAAGTAGTGTACAAAATGCCCACGAAATTGAGTTTCCGTTATAATAGGAATAAACAAATTGTATTGTTACATGCACCCATAAAATATTGAGCATTGAATGAATGGTGTGACACTCCAATGGCAGAGCGGATAAAACCAGTGAATAGTTGGTGTTGGGTTCGTCTCTCGCTAACAGTCTAGCCACGCGGAGGTTTCGGTGTTCGTTAAATAGGAGGCAGATTCCACTAAGGTTTTTCAGGGAGACATCCTTTCAGCAGATTGCCCAATATAACACAATAAACTTTATAATTATTGTGTGAATTAAATTCGTATTAATATTTTTAACTTTTATGTTCCTTTTAGGTGACGACGATAGTGAATTATATATCAAGTATATTGGTTCGTGCGATGAAAATTTTACAGACGAAAACTGTGGTACGACGTGTGATTCAATGGAGTATTGGTTCGGACTGTGCATTCCAAATAGTAACAACTCAGGCTTTAGATGCATGTGCGCCATACACAGGTCTTTAAATATCTAAGATAAATAATACACTTGATACGCATAATATTGAAGTTCTCAATATAGTTTCAGAGAAAACTTGATAATCTGTATTGAGTTATGTAATTGTGTATATCTGTGTTATAAATACATTAATAAAAGCTAATTTTAAAAAGAACTCAACCCACTAGTTTCCGAGTTTATGAAACTTCTGAACACATAGGTTGGTCGTGGGTTCTGACCTGACCAACGACGTAGACGTATTGAGTTTTCTCAGGTGCCTCACACCTAAATGATGGTTAATTTTCTATTGAAACTTCCTCCGGTAGGCATTTCCCTGGCAGATCATCCGTGTGTTGTTTTACCGTATCACACCATACAAAGCCACAATGAAAATATTAAAAACTAGCAATTGTTTCAAAATAAATACGGAACTATCTTTCAAATCCGTTTTATAATCAACTTCAAATTTATATAAAAGTGTATAAGTAACGATAAATTTAAAAAAGTGTAAAGTTTAAGTATAATGTGACAGGGCAACGCAAAACGTGGGTCATATGCTAAGGAAGATTTTCTACAGGAAACTGATCGCTTTTTCGATAAAAATGAAAAAAAAAAAACCCAGGGAAAACCTCACGTTACCCATCTTGCGTTGACTTTTTTCTTCGATTGTCGTAATATTGTGCATCCGAAATTTTCTCTGGCTGGCCAAACTGTCGACAAAGAATATTATTTGAGTTTTTTGCGTCGTTTGCATAAATCAATTCGTAGAAAACGACCAGATTTTTGGCGTAAAAAGTCGTGAATTTTGCACCATGATAATGCACCTGCTCACAATGCTCTTGTTGTTCGCGGATTTTTGGTCAATAGTTCAGAAAATACTGTTTTTCGAGTTCGGTATTTACGTGATATATTATTGTGTGACTTATTTCTGTTTTATAGACTAATATTAATGCTTGGTAGTCACCGTTTTAGCTGATCGATGCCATGAAAAAATTATGCTACCAGTCGGGATTTCAATGAAACAACCTTAAAGCGTGTTTAGTGGATTGGAAAAATGTTGGTATAAGTGCAGTGGAAGGGTACTTTGCAGTTCTTTCACGTTATGTTTCACAACTATTATAAGTGTAGAAAATATTGCAAAACGTTCTTTACAAGTTTTCGACGAGTTTATGGTGCTCATTTTCCCCATCTTGCGTTGCTCGTTAAAGTATTATAATCGTCAAATTTAAATTTCAAGTGACTACCAGTGACCGAGTAGATAAAATCACTCAACAGTAGTAGTTGATAGTGGGTTAAAGTTACGCGAACGGGCTAACTCGCCCATTTCTCGCGTTGCCGTATACAAAGAAAACTAACCAAGCCAATCTTTGGATGGTCCTAATAATTGTTTCTAGCTTGTATTCCAAGGTATATATATTAAAATCGTCAATGAATTCCTCTTTGCATTAAACCATTATATATTTCTCGTTGTATACATAATACAATAGGAAAAATAATTAATTAAATTACTCCGTTTGAAGTTTAAGATAGCAGCCTGGACGACCCGGAATCAAAAAATCCCCAGGATTATTTCGGGTATGTTGAGTCTTGTCCCTATCCATCCGGCTTCCCCAACACGCCCCATTGTGGGCCTGACTGAAACCATAATAGGCTTTCTTAAGAGAGGCCCTCTTATTGCTCCAGGGCTGAACGCGTTTAAAAAAAAAACATATCCACATTACAGTTAAATTTTCTATATTATAAAGAAATGAATAGTTTAAATTTAATAAAAGTTTTTACATCAATAAAATTTTTATTAATTTACAATTTAGTTTTATTCTCAATTTAATACAAAGAAATTTTTTCATATTTTTACTCGTTTAACCAACGTTAACACCGTGTGGAATGAGGAGTTCACACTTTTGATAACCATACAATACTGGATAGTCACATCTGTTGTTGCAGCACATTTCTACAAGAGTTGGTCCTTCTCCTCTATCGAAGAATCCTTCATAATATGGACGATAAGCTGTAACTGAAATAAAATAAAGTTGTAGATATTTTATAGTACCACAATTAAAATCACGTTGTGATTCGATAGTGAAATTTACTTACGATTCCATCCTCTAATTTTTGGAAGACAGGCTTGAACTAACCATGTGTACAATGCGTGTCCACATGCTTGAACTTTACCAACTTGGCATGCTGTAAGGAAACACGAAACAAATATGTAAATATTATGGTATATATTATTTAAATTAATCCAATCTATAGCATTTTATAACTAAAATAATTTCTTATAGGAGTGAATTGATGGAATAAAGGCAGCGCAACACAAGAGCAATTTGATATATAAAGAATTATTTCTAAGTAAACATGTAATTTTTATTTCAGTAAAGATTTCTTACCGTATGGTTCAATGAAGACCGTACAAACAAGAAGAAAGAAGATAATTTTTCGTGAATTTATCATTTTCCCATTCATTTCTAATGCTCGTGAACACTCTTCATTGCAAATGTGCTTATAAATACAAGCTTATATAGTATAATGTAAAATAGATTTCTAATTTTGTATTATGTTTAATTTATTTGCGTAATATAATATTTTTATATATAAAATAAATATAAAAATTATTTTTAGAATTACATAAAGTTTTATAGACACGAATGTTTAAACGAAATTCGTATTCGTGACTATTGTGGTTTCTAGCGAAATTTTATAATTCTAGCATAAAATTCATTTAATTTTATTAAATTTTACAGATTTATGGTTATAAAATTACAGATTTAAATGAAATTTCTAGCCTAAATTGACACGTTTGAAACAGCGTTATATCAAGAAAAACTGACGTATTGACGTGTGTAATTAATGAACTTCGTTAAAATGATGATTATAAATTCTTAACAGTTCATTTACATTACAAGATTTCAATACAATATAATTACAGTAGACCCCCTATAACACTGTAGTGAACGGCTCACGTATTTGTAAAGTATAAGTGACTCGTACAACATGGAATTCATATAACACGGAATTATCAACAGTGTTATAGGGGGGTCTACTGTACAAATGAATTCTTCGATTTAACGATTTTGTGTAAACCCACAAAAATATTGATAATTTTTATGGCTCGACAATAATGTTTACATTCGAACTTCAATTGCCTCTGAAATTGACACTAAATTGAATGACGCTAAACTGAGGTACAGTACCTAAAACAGAATTGTATGTAAGTTATTAACACTTAATTAGGGGCCAGTTTCCAATAGAAAATCCCCAAGGAGGCACTTCCCTAGCATATTGCCCACGTGTTGCTTTGCCTTAACACGTGGGCAATATGTGTTGCCCACGTTGTGGGCCTTAACACGTGTTGCTTTGCCTTAACAGTTTATGATATTAAATTACAAAGAATGCACTTTTTTCATTTATATTAATTGTAACTGATACTCAGTTTGCCATTCTGTAGAAATTTAATTATACTTTAAATATTAAATTCTATAAATTTCACAAGCTGCTACTGAAATTTTAACTGTACACATTTATATGAAAATTTAATTTGTAGAACGTCACGTGTAATTTAAATAATGTCGATTATATATAAAAGTTTCCTTATGAACCATTAAACATTCAAAGGTTTAGTACAGAAAAACATAATGGTGACTTCACGGTATATGATCATTTTTCTATTGTTTTCTTCGCTTTTGATTGTTCCAAACGGTGAGATATTTCTTAAATTTAATATAAAGAAAATCTAAATTCAATTAACCTTATGTAAAACTATGATTACATTAAATTTATGTGTAATTTTTGTACCATACATTATCCTTTATTCTGCATTATGTGATGACTGCAAGATCCATCTGAAGGTCAGAAAATTGACTAAAGGTTTTCAGGTGGATGAGAACCAGGTATGGAGGCCCTTGCTCTTCAACTTCCAATCGATCAAGATACAATAGGCATTTCAGGCTTGAGCGTTGGTGACTCTCCCACACAATTCAGAATCTATTTAGTGTACCTGTAGTAGATTCTGCATTGTGTGACGATTGCAGGATCAATTTGAAGGACTAAGAATGTTTTGGTGGGTGAGAACAGGATGTATAGGGTGTTGCTTTTCAACTCCCGTTTGACACAATGTGCCTACCAAATTTACACTATGATATAAGATTGTACAATATATTATACAATATACTAATTTCTATTAACGATTTGCACCTTAACTTTCTTAATATTTATGTATTTATTTAGAAAGTCGAGTGGGTAAAGTTCAAGCATGTGGACACGCACTGTATGTCTGGTTGGTTCAAGCATGCATTCCAAAACTTAGACAATGGAGATGTAAATTAATTAATTTTTCTATATAAAAATTCAGTTTATTTTCAGATATAATAGAGTCTTACTCAATATATAATCTTTATTCAAATTGCAGTGAACGAATATCGTCCATATGATGACGAATTCTTCAATAGAGGAGAAGGACCAACTCTTGTAGAAATGTGCTGCAACAACAGATGTGACTATCCAGTATTGTATGGCTATCAAAAGTGTGAACTCCTCATTCCACATGGTGTTAATATTGGCTGAATACAAAGAAAAAAAACCATTTATAAGAAAATTAAAAGAATATTTACATGAGAATAACAAAAATTTGCTTTTCAATACACAGACAAAATTCTTAAACCGTGAGTCACGTAATTGAATTTGAGTAACGTTTTCTACTGCATGTTTATGTGAAGCAGCGTTTTCAGCATTGACAATTATAAAATCAAAGCGTAGGCTTACTCTGAAAACGTTGAAGTCGTCATGTTTCCTGCATTATCAAATATTCTGCCATGATTTAATGATTTATGCGAAAATAAACAAGCGCATCCATTTCATTAGTATGCAAATCTCCTTTAGTCACTAATAAATGGTAAAATAATATGAATATGAAAGAATTGTCTTATGATTTATCATCAATAAGCGATTTTATTTGTAAATCTATTTTTTTATATACCTAAATAACGGAAGGTATTTGTATACGAAAAAAGCAATATTTGCTTTTTGACGAAGAGAAAGAGGCAATCCTTGCACCTATGGACACGGAGGAGGCGATCCTTCGCTGCACGCGATTGTTTTGTTCTTGTGTTTTAATCGTTTATCGCGCCAATTTTCCTTTAGGAGCATGCTTTTTTATATTTTCCCCCTAAATACAGTTATGCTCGCTCAATCGTGTCAGTGGGCATAGACATTGTAACATGAACTTTTCCGAATCTCGAAAACGAAGTCATGGACCCCCAGTTTTATCACATTCTTGGATTCTTTATCGCAATTAATGAAAGATGGCAATGTTTAATCAAAATCAACCCATCAAAATTTCAGAACAAAAGCAATTCTATAAACCACATAGTCTCTTAAGGGCGTTTCCCGATAGGGATCTCTTTCCCTGCCCCGCCGAATTGGCACCACAGGGTTAAGAGACTATGTCTTTCCGTTGTCTTCGACTGAGGGCGTTCCTGCCGCCTTACAAAGCCAGGCCCTGCGAGAGCTTTCGCGGTCACTAGACCCAGCTCTCTAACGTGACATAGCTTTAAAAGTTGTGCGGCATGTGCCGCACTTTGTTCCACTGACTAATTGATTAGGCACTCAGTTGCAATATAGATTGCTTTAGTAGATATCGAACAGCGAGGTCCCCTGCCCTACAAGAAAAGGGGGCCCAGCCTAGCGCGTTCACTAGGCAAGTAGATCATAAATTTATGACTATTTCCATCAATTCCTTTAGTTTCTTTAAGTTTCCTTTACTAGCTGCTAGCGTTCGAAGTACTTGTTTAGGTGGCTGGGACCAGTCGACTTGGTCAGCCCTTCGGCGGAAGTCCCTTGTAAGAGGACAGTCAAGTACATAGTGTCTCGCGTCACCGCGAGGACACCCACAGGAGCAGCTACCATCTCCATGTCCGAATCTGGACATAAAATGAGAAACCTTCCATGGCCGGTCAGTATCTGGGTTGTGTGCTAATTGCAACACACCGGAGAGAGGTCAACTACAGGCACGAAGGCGTAGGCTGGCCTAACTACTGTACTATGATTCCAGCACTCTTGCCAATTGGTCATTGATCTTTTAAGCAATGTGCCTTTAATATAAGCAGCCGAGGGTTCCACCGTCCTCGTTATAAATGAGCTGCTGGCTTTCACCTTTGCCAGCTGATCGGCACGCTCGTTGCCCAGGATCCCGATGTGGCCTCGGACCCACCACAGGGCGACGTGTCGCTCGAGCCTCGCCCTCAACACCATGCCTCTGATTTCATGTACCAGCGAATCGCGATGGTACCCGTCTTTCAAAGCCTGTAGCGACGATTGGCTATCAGAGTAAACTGTGACCGGCTCCGGACCCGGATGTAATAGGATCCACTGGGACGCCCCCACCAAGGCCACCAGTTCTGCCTGGAACACAGACGCTTCCTCATTCAGTCTGACTGACTGTTCGTACACTTCAACTCCGTCGCAGTAGACGACATACGCGGCACCTACTAAGCTGCCGTCTTATGAGCCATCGGTATATATTTCAACACCCGTACCAGTCGGTTCACCGACCTCCCAGTCTAGTCCAATCCGTTGGGCCGGATGGACCTTAAAGACATCCACTCTATGTCTGAGCCTGACTGGGTACTTCTGATTACAATGCAAAGCCTCTATCCCTTCTACTGTGTTTCGGTAGAAGGCAGCCTCTTGGCTAACAACCAAGGGCAGCGGGAGCAGCCCGGCCAAGACCAGGGCCGCCTCCGTTGACACAGATCTGTATGCCCTTATGACCCGCAAAGCAGCGGGCCTCTGTATCGAGAGCAGCGTCCTGCTCTGTTTAACATTGGTGGAATCTTTCCACCAAACACCACAGGCATAGCAGACGACACGCTCAACACACATCTTGTAGATGGTTCGAAGCGCTTCGCCGCTTAAGCCGTAATCCTGCCTCGCTAGTCTCGACAGTCCTGCTATCATGAGGTTCGTCTTTTCACGGACGTTCCTCAAATGGGGCGTCCAGCATAATGTCTGATTTATGGTAACACCGAGGTACTTGAGCTCATTTACTCTTCTGATAGGGTTCCCCCGGATCCGGTATATTGGTCGGCGGGCCAACACTCTAGTCCGGGCCACCTTCAGGGCCTCCGATTTCTCGGGGCTGAACGAGAGCTTGTGCAGCTCCCCCCAGCGAACGAGTCGTTCTATTGCTTCGTTGCCGCGACTCTCCATGTCGCTACGGCTGTAGCCTGCAACTACTAGCAACAGATCGTCTGCATATGCCTGCAACTGGACGTCGTCCAGAAGGACTAGTCGCAGTGCCGTGTTCGCTAGAACATTCCAAAGTAAGGGGCCGATACAGGATCCTTGGGGACAACTCCTCTCCAGTATCTTCGTATGACTTGCACTTGGTGTTTGATAGATTACCTCGCGGTCGCTCAGGAAACTTCTGGTAAGCGATACAAGGGTGGTCGGCAGGTTCGCTTTCCTCAGTTCACCCACTATGGATGGCCACCAGACATTGTCAAAAGCCCCCGCGACGTCCATCAAAACGAGCGACGTGTGGAGGCCCTGCCGGCGGTTCTGGCGAACCAGAGAGACCGCACGATGTAGCGCTTGGCATGTAGACAAGTCCGGCCGAAACCCAAATTGGTGTGGGTGTAACAGCCCTTTCCGCTTTAAGTGGTAAAACACTCTGTCGCTAAGGATTTTATCTAGAACCTTCCCTAGAACTGGCAAGAGACTGATCGGTCGATACGACTTCGGTTCGTTCTTCGGACGCCTATTCTTGTGAATAAACACAAGTCGTGCCCGTTTCCACTGCACTGGGAAGTGACCCAGGAGCAGACACTTCTGATACAAAGCACGGAGCAGGCCAGGACGTTCATGTTGCAGAACTTGTACCATTTCGGCCGTGATCCAATCAACGCCAGGTGCCTTCCTCTTCCTTAGACTGCTCACAACGCGAACAACTTCAGATTTGGACACCGGCACGGGTAACTCGGCTTCAAGAACGGGCAGCTCCGCGTCACTTCGAAGACGCCTCTGTTCTTCGGTATCATCGGACCGCTCATCGCATGGAAAATGCGAGCGGAGCAGCACCTGTATCGATTCCTCCTGTGTGGAGGTTAGGGTACCATCAGGTCTTTTCATGGCCCCCCAGACCAAACTACGCTTGACTTTGCCCACCACTAGCTTGTAGGGAAGACAGAACGGGTTCTCGCCACTGATTTCCTGACAGAATCTGAGCCATGAGGTCTTTTTTGCATCGTTCACTTTGTACTTGTAATCAGCATTGGCCCTATTGCACTCCAGTTTCCTGGTAGCCCGAAGGTCATCGTCCCTGCATCGTTGAAAGCGTGGGCGAAACGCCCTCACACGCTTCCGTAGGACACTTAACTCCTGGGTCCACCAGGGAACTGACCGGTGGTTGTTGGGCCGCAGCAGCGCAAGTGTGAAGTCTCCTGCTTCTCTGAACGCATCGGTAAGAAAGGCCACAACTTCCTCCAGGTCCTCGACACTCTCAACCTTAGAGACTTTGGCAACGATATCGGCTGTCTTTTCAACGAGGCATTTGCTGAATCAGTCGCGGTTTCCGGCGGTCAGCTTGTAACGGCAGCTCGGCCAGGCAAACGAGCCACACATCACCTCAAAAGAGATGAAGCGATGATCGCTATAGCTTTCCGCATCGACCGTTTCCTATTGCGAGGTCAGTCTCAGCATAGCTCCATTAACGATGGTAAGGTCGATCCAGCTTTCGCCCGGAGATGAAGAGTAGGTAGCAATCCCAAACGGATCGTTCAGGATAAGCCAGTCCCACACTTCCACCGACTCCTTCATCATGTTCCTGTCGAAACCGTCCACAGGGGATCCCCACAGCGAGTGCTTGGAGTTGAAGTAACCAGCCAAGACAACCCAACTGAGAGGCAGGACAACCCTTTCGAGTTCACTCAGAAGGTCACCCAGATTTAGTCTTGGCGGACGATAAGCGGAGACCACAGCCCACGAGCAAGTAGGCGACCGTATTTCTACAGCCACCACAAGCCGAGAGACGTAGAAGGCATACGCATCGACATTCCTGCGTGTGAGAATAACTGCAGCATGACAGTGGTCACCTTCTTGGGCAAAAACGCTTCAGTGTAATGAGAGGCCACCGACTTTTCCATGTACTAGGTACGGCTCTTGGAGCAGGATGATATCAATCTCCCGCTCCGCAAACTTCCACCTTCAGTTGGGCGGTTGCGGCGCGACACTTCTCGGCGTTAAACTGCAGAATTTTGCAGCAGCGCTCATTTATCTGCTGTGTGTAAAAGAATGCAGATTTAGACAGATTTAGACATCATTTTCAAACATAACTAGACAAACACAAAATGCTGTATTTTCTTAAATATGCATTTACAATAATTTTAGAAAATAATTTATTAGGATAAAAACAATACTTTAAAAAGTACATAATGAATCTCTAAGCTATTATAAGTGCTGTTGTTTATTGTTTAATCATGACGATTAAAGCGATTATCGGTTGTCTTGTACACTCCTATGTCATTAAGAACGTATGAATCTCTTTCTTCGTCAATTTACTGTTTATTCGCGCTTCCTGGAGATACAACAGTACTACTTCCGAAGATGTCGGCTCCTACAGACAACCTAAACAGTTCTTTGAGTGCAGCCATCTAAGTGCAATATGTTCTAATAGAATCTAACCTTACAGGGAAATAAAAGTGACAATTACAAATTTTTATATTAATTTTCCGAAATATTAAAGTTTTCATTTTGAGGAAGGACTGGACAGTGGGCATTTATAGATCTACAATGGGTTTAACAATATAGAAACAACAGTTCCAAAAGATTCTATAATTGCTCAATTTAATATAGAAAGACACTTTGAAATCGAAATT